TGAAATAGTAAATGGCTCCTAGCAGACTGAATGGGCAATAAGACTGCCATCCACTAGTGCTCGTAAAACAAAGTGATAGATAAATAAAGGGGAACCAACTCACTTAACCCACGCAGCTCTGAGCACTGCTAATTATTAACCCAGGCACAAGAGGGGGGTTCACCCGGAGTGCGGTTAAATCATTTTTAATCGTGGTAAACACTAGCCATGTGGACGAGCAGCACTCAGGAAAGTTTTTAATCAGCCATGTTTAGGAATCACCTCGCTTAATTGCCATAACTTATTAATACTAATAAATAATCTGGTCTTTTTATGGCCCCAGTCTCTGGAGGACGCAGTGCATTAAGGATCTCTACGACGTGAATCTCAGTAGCTGTGGGGGAGGGGCACACATCCTGATGCTCCTTTCCAATGGAAGACGTTGGACTTGGGGCTCAGGGAGGCGAATCTGAATTCTTTCTGACTTCCTGCTTCCCATATCTGTGTCACCATCTTGCTACATAGGCCCATCCATCCATCTCTGGGATCAGAATGGCTCCCGGGGCTGGGGGTGGGGCTGGAGAACAGGCTTGCTTTGTTCACACGGATAATTAGGGCTGCGGTTTCCTCCCTGGGGAAGTGAGCGTGAGCAGAGCTTTGTCTGAAGGAGTTCATTTCCTCTGCACAAGTGTCCCCGGTGTCCTTTGGGCTCAACTTGATGGAAGCTAGAGTGACCACTGGCAACTCTGTGTTTGCGTGCTTTCCAATTCCTGTAGACACGAGGGCACCAAGTCTTGTTCCCGGAGTGATTCCGCACAGCAACAGGTGGGAAAGTGATCCTGCAAATGATTCAGCTTCACCTCGCCGGCACCAGGTGGGGTGTTGGTCTGCCTCGGTTCTTGCTCAGGGAGGATGAGCTCAGGGTGCAGGTTGCTGATTCCCAGGCGTTCAGAGTTCTTCGTGGTTGGTTAGACCGGAAGGGGAGTATCGCACTCACATTTCAGGTCCTTTGATTTTCACAGGTGACTGCTTCTCCTGGTTTGGGACATGTGTGTTGGACATGAACGTCAGAGCAAGAGTGTTGAGAGTATTTCTGTGGATACCATCCTCTGACATCCACGATTTGTGGAGGGGTGGGCAGAGGGTAAAATGTAGCCATGAACACAGAAACAACTATTTCTACCTTATCTCTCGTTCTGCCGCTCATGAAGTATTTGAACCTGAGCCTGGGTAGCTCTTTCTGTCTGGAAAAGTGAGATTTTAAAGATGGTATGCAAGCCATTATTATACAGAGCAAAAAGCTAAATGATGCTGTGAGCAGAATGATTTATACCAGAGACCACAAAGGATATACATTCAGAGTGTAAATTACAAGATAACTCATGTGCAAAATTGTTGCAATATTTATACTCATGTTTATTAAAATTTACATTTGAATAAAAAGGTGCAAAATGTAAATAAGGCTGAAAAGGAATAGCTGAAAAAAATCTAAAAGCGTTTACTCGCATATGAAAGAGTTTTTGGAATAGAAGGTATGAATAGTGCTCTCTGCAGACTTGCCTGCTACAGTGTGAAACACACAAAAGGAAGTGGTGAGGAGTAAGGGCATGTATCCCTGCCCGAGGTCCCTTCCTCCATGCCCACCCATACTTGCCTGTGGTTCACATCAGAAGAGGATTTCGAAGGAAATGGCCCTTGTCAAAAGCCGTGAAGAGAAAGTGGAGGATGCTGGATGATGTCGAGACTGGATCTGTACTGGAAAGACTAATTTTATTTCACTGATGTTTTCAAGGTTGGCAATTTTTGTCCGTGTTCATCCGAGGGGAACGATAAATCTCTAATGTGTACCTGCTAATAACAGTGATGAGCTTTTTGTGCTGCCTGTGGGTACTGTGACTCTCCTGTAATCCTGGCTCAGATTTGAACCTCACGTGTGACCTTGAAAATAAAAAAGCTCTTCATTAGCTGGGGCTCAGTTTCCTCATCTGTCGCATAGGGGTCAGGACCAGGCGAGTGTAGGGACTGCCCGGCCCCCGTTCTCTGCCTCCTGGGGCGACCGCACCATACCTGGCAGTGAGGACCATGAGGTGATTAAGATGCTTTGCTCTTGTCCTCAGGAGCTCATGGTCTACATAAATAACTAATTATAATATGAGCACTAATTGCAGCATGCACAAATTACTTTAGGAGTACAGAGCAGAAACAGCGACTTCCCTCTCTGTGGGGAGAGACTTCACAGCGGCGGTGACATTTGAAGGCTGGGTAGGAGGGCTTCTCCAGGTGTGGGGGCCGGTCCGAGGGTGGGTGGCTCACACCGCGGGGTGCAGGAAGCCTACTGGTGTGAAAGTGGTGTATTTTGGGAGCTGCACGAGGTCCTTCTCTCAGCTTTTGGGTGGTGGCATTCTACACGCTGCTGGATTAGAATTTGAATGATAAATTAGTACACTAAATACTGTATACATAGGACAGGCAAGGCTGTAGGGTCGTGGCACCAATGTGGCCCCTGCCCAGCCTGGCTGGCTGTCTTGCGTGTGAGTGAGTGAGTAATATTTTAGCCAAATCTCTTGGAATTGTGAGCTTGCAATGTGTCTCACCTGTGCCATAGCCGCCAGCCTGGGTGTGCCCTGGAAGTCTGTGTAGTGATGTGAATGCACCTCTCACAGGGGTCCTGTGTACCCAGGCGGGATGGAAAAGCGGGTGTTTGCTTCTTGCTGTCTGTTTCATCCTCGCCACTCGTGGGCCCTCCGTTCTTTGTGACCTCGTTGGAGCTGCTATTTCAAGTGATGACTGACAGCACAATTAAAGTTGATGCATAGCTCTCTGTTTTTGTTTTTAAAGGTTTGTTTATTTCATTTGAAAATCAGGGTTACAGAGACAGGAAGAGACAGAGAGAGACAGAGAGAGAGAGAGAGAGAGAGAGAGATCTTCCATCCGCTGGTTCACTACCCGGATGGCCACAACATCCAAGGCAGGGCCAGGCCAAATCCAGGAGCTTCCTCTGGATCTCTCAGATGGGTGCAGGGACCCAAGTACTTGGGCTATGCTTTTCCAGGCCACGGCGGAGAGCTGGATCAGAAGTGGAGAAGCTGGGCCTTGAACTGGTGCTCATATCAGATGCTGGCACTACAGGCGGTGGCCTTGCTCACTACGCCACAGCGCTGGCCCCTCCAATTGCTTTTAAATAAAAATATCATGGAGCAAAATTGAATATATAATCAAGTCAGCTTATGTACCTGTGGGCATGTGTGCAGCTGCATGAAGACAGATCTGTGATGAATTTCCTGGCTCCTGGTTCTGGATCAGCCCAGCTCCAGCTGTTGCAGCCATTTGGAGAGTGAACCAACAGATGGAAGACCTCTCTCTTTGCCTCCCCCTTTCTGTAACTCTGCCTTTCAAATAAATAAATAAATAAAAATCTTAAAAATAAAAAGCAATTGGATTCTTAAATAATTCTTTAAATGGCTGCACAATAATCCCTTGTATGGTGTATAGTATTTTTGGTTTGATTCCCTATCGACTAAATGGCCAATATTATAAATAATACTGTGATGAACATCCGTGAAGGCTGCTTTTATAATTTTAGTTATTTCAGTAGGTTAAAGTCACAAATGTGGTAGCATTGGGTCACAGAATGTATGTTTAACATTTCTGCATGTACTATCAAACCTTTTTCTAGAAGTTTTGTACCTTTCTACAATCCCACTGGCTGTGCAGGAAGTGGCTCAAGTATGAATGGTGCTGTCTTGTCGTCACTGGTGCTTTCTGCCTTCAGATTACTAGATGAGAGATCGTGATTGGATGAGAGTGCTGGGGGTGTCTGCAAGGTGGTAGAAGCAGAGTGAACCTGAATGCACAGGGGAGATGTCAGAAAGTCCCAGGCCTGTGCACCTGTGTTCCCCAAAAGATACGGATCACAGTTCCGTGTTGCCAAACATTGAAAATAACCCAGCTCTTCACAATAAATTATAGTCTAATCGCACAGTGAATTGCTGTACAATGTGAGAAGGAGTGAGCTACCATGTGCTACAGTGTGGATGACTCCCACAAGCACTCTGAACAGAGAAGCCAGAAATAGAAAAAGTATTCATGCCCTAGAAGTCCATTTATACCAAAATCAAAAACAGGTTAAAATGAGTTAATGGTCTTAGAAATCAAGTTAGTGATTACCCTGAGGGGTAGCATTAGTGACTGCTTGCTTGTGTTTGGGCCAGATGTGTGTTCCCTAGAGCCAGATAGAATGTTTGGCACAGAGCAGCCTCTCAAATATTTGCTGAAAAAAATACATTAATGGTTTTCACCTTTATTATAGATTTTGACCTAGGATTATTAGTAGTAATATTATTAGTTGTGGGTTATGATGCAGAGAATTCATAGATATGTTTATGTGATTTAGATATGGAACTAATTCATAGGCCCTTCGCTATTTATTCTCTTACCTGCCACTGTTGGTTTTGCTGCAATTTATAAATTAGTTATGCAGGTCATAACTAATATGCAGGTAAGGAGATAGTTTATGGAATCAGACTGGGGTTCAATCCTGAGCCTAGGTTTGCTCCTCCATGGTTTTGGAATCACTTAACCTTCTGGGACCATTCCCTCATCTATAGAATGAGACTAGTACCTACTTTATGGGACTGTTACGAACATAATAGTGTTAGTGTCACCACCAATGGTTCTATGTTTGCTGTGTGCCAGGCACTGTTCTAAGCCGTAAAGCGCATGTGGCATCATATATTTAACCTTTCCAGGACTTTTATCTGTGTTGTGGTTTAGGGAACCATAATCCATAAGAGTTAGTAAGTGCCAAGCTGAGATTCAAGCCCAAGCTGTCTATTCTAGAGCCTGCGCTCTTAACCACTGCCTCTGGAGTTAAAGGAAATAGGGCACAAAGGCGGCTTAGAAAAATCAGCACATTAGCTGTGATATTGCGTTGTCCTCTGCAACATCCTTATTAACGTGTTTCTCCTCTCTCTTTCTCTCTCCTCCCCACCCCCTCCCCAATGTTTCCTCTCTCCTGGCAGATGTCTTTCAGCAAGGTAAGTCTCTGCCTCCTGCCTGTTCTTCTATTTGTGCTTTTTGGATTATGAGGCTTTATGTCACGTGGACTTTAGAGGACATGATGTGGACAGTGGCCTGAAGTGCCATGGGCCTCTGGTGTTTGGCCTCTGGTGTTGCTTCTGAACCATGCTTGGGGGTAGCAGGGGAACTGGACAGGGCAGGGGTGATTGGGCCCTGGCAGGGGGCAGGGATGCTGGTGAGACTAGTGAGGAACAGGTGTCTCTTTGGGTGGGGGAAGGGAGGTCCCTGACCCTCAGTGCTTCTGTGTTCAGGGCAGCGGCTGCGTGGTCAGGGCTCTCCATGCCAGTGCCAGCAGTGGAGGTGTGTTTGCCGAACAGACACACTGCTGTCGTGGAGGTGTAGACAAGACCAGAGCTGGCTGGCCACTTTGTAGCTCACAACCTCTCCAACTGGGTCTGTGACTGAGACAGAGCCAAATGAGAGCCTGAGTGTCACCTCTTTCACCAGCCAAGGTCAAGTATTCCTGATCCACATGGCGTGTTCTGGCCCATATTCTAGTCCTCATTTGGGATGCGTTGGGGACACAAGAGACTTGAAACTTTTGAGTAAAAGTGGCAGGGCTCCACTGTTTGTATTCAGGCTGGGAAAGATGTTTGTAGCACGTGTCTGCTGCATCTTTCTGGAGCCCAAGTCTGGCTTAGAATACAAGAGACTGTTTTAAAAATACATTCAGACATTCCATAAATAGCTTCCAAGTAATCTTACAGGCTCGATATGTTCAAAACGGTTATTTCACCCAAACGTACAGTGTGTGTTGTGGGGAATATGCTTTCTGCTTGCAGCACGATTGTGGATAACAATGCGTGCTCTGTTTACGTTGTCTTCTAAGAGTCTGGAGTCATAGACCTACTTTGATAAATAATTCATAAATCCCAACAAGCTATAAGTAATAAGTTCCATTTGGCTGGAGACTAAGAGATGAGCAAAATTGAAAAGGTGCCGTGACGTGGTGTAATGAAAGTGCTGCTGTCAGGGCCCGTTGCTACCGCGAGTTTTCTTTGACAAATTGGAGGTTCTGGGGATGCTGGACTAGGAGGCAGGCATCACCCTTTGTCTGCTCCTGAAACCCCAAACGCACAGTCTGGGAGATCTTTCTGGAACCTGTGTTCCAAGGCTCACGGAGAAGGGGCTTGTATCAGATCTGGCCTTTCTACACAGAGTGCTTGAGCACTCTCGTTGTTGTAATTGGCATAAAAAATGGCTTATCAGACTGCCTATGTCAAGTTCGCCTCCTTTTTAAATTAGTCATGCCATTCGATTGATGGGATTTGCCTGTCAGTAGCAATGATATGCAGAGCCAAAGTTATAATCATCTACAAATCACTGGCTATTGAGACTTAATAGCATCTGCCAGAGACGGAAGCTGCTAGCTGCCCGGTGCCCTGTGTGGCGGTGGGCGGCAGCTCCCCTCTAAGATATTACTAGGATTTCAGATGGAGAGAGCTGAGCTCCCTTTTGTGAATTATTTACACGGCACTGGTCTTGTAGGACCATTTGGGATGGAGACACGGCAGAAATGATGGCAGAGAGCTCGCCAGCTGGGACCCCCTCCTTACCTTTGTGTCTGGCCATTCCGCCTCTGAAAATAATGCTCGGGAAAATGTTCAGCTGGTGCCAGTCACATGAGACCAAGACCGAATGTTCTGGGTTGCTCTCCATGACGTCTTCCGTGCTGGGGACTCTGGGCCAGCGTTGTGCCTTTAACCGGAAACACAGGCAGGGTGCATGAGGAATGGTGCTAGAAATAAACAGGTAGAAGGCTGTGTGGCTTCCAGTGAGCAGATGCCACTGGGTCATCTTCTGAAGCCGTCTACATCCGTGGTGGCGATTTGGAGCTGCCCTGCCTTCCTGAGCACACAGTGGGCATCGAGGCCCTGCCTGCCCAGGGGCTGGCCAGGGAGTCACGGGCAATGACAGGGAGACACCACTTTGCCACTGAGTGTGCCTGGAGCTGAGGGAGGGAGGCCTCTGTGCCCAGAGGAGTCCCTGCCTGCTCGGGCTGCTGTGCGCCGTGGCAGGTGGAAGAGGAAAGCAGGTTTGCAGTTGACAACATCAGACATTCTCGCAGGAAACAGAAGTTATTTCCTCTGGATTGCATTATCTTTTATTTCACTACAGATCAATCTTGTTACGGTAGGTGACAGCGCGGCAGCTCCTGCAGGGTTTTTCTCGGCTGTATCCGTGGCGTGGGCACGTGGGAGTGTGCCTCCACCCTGCGCCTGGGCCATTTCCCCGCTGGTTTCGGTTCTTTCATCTATAAATGCCACTTGCTGCGGAGCTCGGAGCACGGTGGCTGAGGACGGTCGAGGACCGGTGGGCCTGCAGCTGGGCAGTTCTAAATGAGAGTTCCAGGGCCACAGGGACAGGTTCTCAAGGAGCCTTCATTGACGCACATTCTCTGTTGTCCCCAGAGCTCCTGCACCATCAGGTGGCTCTCAGACATTCCCAAGAGCCCTCGAACTGCTCTTCACAACATCAGATGCGATAGAAACACTGTGCGTGCACCCGGGAGCAGGATCTCGAGTTTTAGGGCACTTTCACAGTGAAGTCGGGAACACACACACACACACACACACACACACACTCTCCTCCTTCGAAGCTGCTGAAGCACTTCCTGAACGCTCATCCAGGGACTCAAGGTTGATCCTGAAATTGAACAGAAACCAAGCTGAGAGTAACACCACTCAGCCTGGTTGGAAAGTGTAAGTGGGCACAGTGTAGCGATTTCGCCATTGAGGTAATGCTGGCTGTGCTGTCAGCTGAAATCCCTTAAAACTGAGCCCAGACTCCCAGCTGTTCCTCTGCCCTGGTTCTCACCCGAGCTGGGGTCTTGCTAGTGGAGAGCGCTTTCTCCCAGCTCAAGTACTTTGCAAAACCTCTAACACAGTATGTGACGTGTTTACTCTGCAGCTGGTAACTATGTTCTCCAGGCACTTTCTAGGCCTTGAGGATGGGGCATGAGCAAGAACCAAGGCCCCTGGTTTCATGGAATCTACAGTGTAGTAGTGTAGAGTGTCTGGAACCAAGGCTGCAAAGGAATTAAACAAGGTAGATTTGGAGAGGAGAAATGAAGACAGTGTCTTGGGGTGATGTGCTAGTGCCAGGAAGTCTTTAGCTAGAATGGTCAGGGAAGTCCCTGTGGACCATTCATCACACGCCAGGGTCCCAGGCTCAGGAGGGAGCGGGCATGGCGGGGAGTTGCTAGTGAAAGGGAAGATTGTGTGACACGAACGAGAAAGGAAGTGGAGAGGTAGGTGCTATGGTTTTATTTATGTTTAAAAACAGCTGCCCTGTGCTGAGTAGGCTCAGACCCTACCGGCTGCCCTTTGCAATTCTCTTTTCTCCTGGCAGTGGGAACAGTGCCCCACGCTAGCCGGCTCAGCTCTGCTGAGTGCCTGCGTTCTGCTCGCTTTGCCCACAGAGAATCTCTAACGGGCGGCTTGCACCTCGTATCATCTTAAAGGTGGCCAGTTGTGCTCATCAATACTTCATTAAAATATTCCCACATGTGTCTTCTGAATTTAAGAAAGTCACTTTTTGTGGCCAGTGTTGTGGTGTAGCAGGTAAAGCCACCACCTGCAATGCAGGCATCTCATATGGGCGCCGGTTCATGTCCCTGCTCCACTTCCAATCCAGCTCCCTGCTGATGTGCCTGGGAAAGCAGTGGAGAGTGGAGGCTGGCTCGAGTACTTGGATCTTTGCTGCCCATGTGGGAGACTCAGAAGAAACTCCTGGCTCCTGGCTTCCGCCTAGCTCAGCCCTGGCCATTCCAGCCATCTAGGGAGTGAACCAGCGGATGAAAGGCTTCTCTCTAACTCCAACTTCCAAATAAATCTTAAAGTGACTTGTCATGTATGCAGACATACTTGCATACATGTGTGTGTCATATGTGTTATATGATGTGTATCACATACCTATTTACTTTTAATCCCAGCTGAGTGTGATGTAGAGGAAGAAGAGCAAGTTCCAAAGTATCCAGGGCTCCTGTCACCAAGGGAAGAGGACCCCGGAGCCTGCAGGGCTGTTTGCCATGGCACCCACTCCCTAGCTGCATAGACTGAGGCCAGGCAGGGATGTAGACCCACAACTGTCAGATAACCAGGGTTTCCAAGAGAAGCCAGGAACGTGGCGGCTGTGAGTCAAGCCTTATGATTTTTGAGCTTTTCATGGAAACTCAAACCAACCAACAGCGTATCCGTGGCCCCAGGGACTTCTGATCTCAGCCTGGTGGCCAGTGCCTAGCAGACCTCAGCTCCGTTGCCAGCAAGGTTTCTGCCTTGGTCAGGGAGCTCTGGGCCGTTTCTGTGCCCTTTGGCCTCGGTTTTCTCATCTGTAAAAGGAGAGAGTTGTGGACACCCGTGACCCCGTTGCACGTCTGCTGATGCGCCATCTTGAGAAGTCGTGAGAGGCTTTTGAGTGGATAGAGACTCATCTCTTGTCCAGGCTTTGGCCATTTTCTGGGCACATGGGTGAGGGCAGAAGCTAAAAACTGGGGCTTTGAGAATGTGGTTTCGGAAGTGGAACTCACAGGAAACCCACTCTTCCTAATGCGGTCTGGGCCAGGCATTCACGATGGATGGCATTGCTTTTATGAACCTGAAGACAACGATAAATCAGCTTGGTTTCTGACAGCTGAGCCAGGCCTGTTAATTGTTGGGGTGGGCCTGAGGTGACGGTGGCGGGGGGCCTGCCACTTAGGATGAGCTCCTGTGCGTGTTTCTAATGTGTTGCTCCAACTGCCGGGCGGGAGCTTGAGTTTTCCCAGCCACTTGCAAAGAGCCGTCAGTTAGCTGTGACCGCTCAGCCGGTGCCCCCAATAATGCTTTACCTTATGAGATACTGTTTTCTTTATGCGTGTGGGGTTTCAGTGAATGAATTCCATCTATTGGTACCATTGCCAGGTAAACATTCCAGGTTGCTCTGTGAAGGTTAAGTAAGTGAATGAGAAAAATGCATT